ATCCCATGTTTAGGGCCATCACTCAGAGCTCCATGACCTGCTCATGGAAGAAGGATTCCCATGTTCCAGCTGTACATTTAGAACCAGAACAGAGCAGGGAATGCCCTTGCGACTCACGTTTTACAGTGGTACAACCCATGGATTGATTTCCTAGAATCCCAAACTGGTGTAGGTGAGAAAGACCTTAAAGCCCATCCAATCCCAACCCCTGCCATGGGCAGGGACACCTTCCATTATCCAGGTTGCTCCAGTCTGGCCTTGGACACTTCAGGGATGGAGAGTCCACAACCCCTCTCTGATTTCCAGTAACAGAACATTGTACCCTGAAGGATTTATCTGCTTTACAGGCTGTAAATAGTTCCATTGCCTTAACACGCTTAAAACTGAGCTTTGCCTCCTGACACTGTTCTTCAGCATGAACAACAGCTGGTTTAAGAGTTGGGATGGTAAAATAAGGGCACCTCTTGCACAAATAACACCTGCAGCAGGAGGGCAGGTTTCCAAGGTGAGGGGGTGAGGACTGCACTTCCCTGGGCTGTGTGTGTTAATAGGTGTGTGTGCATGGGTTCATGTTAATACCTGTGCATGGATGCGTTAATAAAAAGCAAATAAATAATGAAAAGCTGAGGCTCCGTGTTTCAGAGTCACCATCAGGCACTGCTGCACCTTGACAACGGGGACACGGGATTTCTGTGTCTCTGCAAGAGCTTAAGTGCTCGAAAACAAGAGCCGGGGCCGTGAGCATTGTTAAGAGAGATGGCTGCGATAGCTCTTGGCTCCGGGCTCGCAAACAAAACCCCCTCACTCGCTGCTCTTGATGACTCCGGAGTCAGCTGAGAGAAGCACTGAGGGGCCTAATGAAGCAGAACAGACCCGAAGGTTTTCAGATATTTTTCTTCAAAAGCTCTGCTGGCAGCAGCTACAACAAATCCTTTGCCACACGAGATCCGTCAGGGTCCTGCTTTTCGCCTTTCCATCGTTAGGGTCGGGTCAGACTTTCAACACTGCAGAAAAACTCGAGTTGCCACAGGTTAACGACAACATTAAATGTTACACTCCCGAGCTGACGCCGTGACCTTTCTGTGCTGCAGAAATACAACAACGACTGGTGGATAGGGCGGCTGGTGAAGGAGGGCTGCGAGATCGGCTTCATCCCCAGCCCGCTGCGCCTGGAGAACATCCGCATCCAGCAGGAGCAGAAGAGGGGCCGTTTCCATGGAGGGTGAGGGCGCTGCGGCCTCGGGAAGCAGTTAAAGTGTTTCTGGCGCCGGGCAGCGTTTGCAAAGGTCACCCGGCGCTGCTTTATTGCGGTGCCTCGGCACGCCTGGGTTTGGGATCCCCGCTGGAAATAGGTATTTGCAGAGAACAGGCGGGGGAGATGCTGATGGGGAGAAACAGGAAAAGCTGTGTTTGACTTGAGGGAAGAGCAGTAATTCAGTGTGAGTGGTAATGACAGCAATTTCTCGCAGTTTTGTGTCCCCGTGGTCAGCTCAGTGCTCAAAGATTCCCTGATTTTTTTTCCCCAGCTTTTCTCAAGGTTGTGGCCTTTTTCTTCCTTTTGTTTTTTTTTTTCATTCTCTCCATTTCAGCCCAAACCAGACTTTTCAAAGTTCCTGACTTTTTTCATTCAACTTCCTTTTATCCTTCACGTCCCAGCCTGGGCTTTCTGGGGCTCCACCCTGCCAGAGCTGGAGATTGCAAATCCCTGGGAAAATACAAACTTGGTCAGGGAGGTAAAGCTGAGGAAGGAAGTGTTTCCAGAACGACTGAACAGCATCAGCTGTGCTCCTTCCAAATTGCTTTTATGATTTTTGAAATAACTTCAGAGGGTCTCTGTGGACAGGGAGAGGATTACCTGGTTCAGTGAGGCACTCCTGGATTTGCATGATAAAATTCAAAGTTACATTTAAAATAAACAGTTTGTTTTTTAACACCTTTGTTAGGCAGAGTCACAGAGATCTCTGTTGCCTTGGGATTCCTCATGGGGCAGATTCTCCCCAAAACCTCCCACATTTTCATCTCTGGGTGCCTTAACAGGGCTCTTTCTGCTCCCACAGGAAATCCAGTGGGAATTCTTCTTCAAGCCTTGGAGAAATGGTTTCTGGCACGTTTCGGGCCACACCTACTGCCACAGGTAAGACAAGATGTTATTTAGGGGAGCTCTTGTTGTTCTGTTTTCAAAACCACCCCTGAAAAATGCAGGTTTTCCCCTTAGCCGAGTGATTCAGATGTTTTCCAGCAAAGTGCTTGTGTGTGTGGAGGGGGAGGAGGGAAAACAGCTGTTTCTGGCCACGCAGGAGTTGTTGAGGGGCTGGGATAAACCTTGGGAAGAGTGGCAGCTGCTCCAGAATGGACAGAAGGACCAGTTTAAACAGGGAGAGAATTCCCAGTGCATGGACAGAGGGGTTTCTGTTTGCACTGGGGTGTTTTAACCGAGTTCTCCTTTGGTCTTCCAGCAAAACAGAAACAAAAAGTGGTAAGTAGTGCTTTTGCTTTCATTTTATTTCATTCTAATCCACAATTCCCAGGATTTTCCTACGGATCCTGTTGGATAAATGACCTGAAGGGTTGTTTTCTTCTTCTAGACAGAGCATATTCCCCCCTACGATGTAGTGCCATCCATGAGACCTGTTGTCTTGGTGGGTCCATCACTCAAAGGCTATGAGGTACTTGCCATTAATTACTGTTTAATTACCTGTAATCTCCCTTAGTAATGCAGGGTGTGGGCCAGTGCAGCTGGTTGTGATAACTTAAAGTGACCTTTGCTTAAATAATTACCCAAAATGTTCTGTAAGCACCAAGAGCTTTACTTGGAGCTTGCACTGCACATCCACTCCTTCCAGTGCACTTATTCCTGATTAAACCAAGTCAGAAAAAGAGAATTTGTGTTCTCTACAAGGCAGAGTTGGAGCAGTCAAATTAAAGAGCTGGACTCCTCCCCACGTGTAACATTTTAGTCAAACCAGCACATGCTTTGAACTTAATTAGCAAAAAAATTTTCAGGGAGCTTCCTTACTGTTCTCTTTTCCTTTTGCCAGTATTGCAAATGTATTTGCAAAGAATCTTTAACCCTCCTAAGGGGTTTGCCACCGTTCCACGTGGGAGTGGGCAGGATAACGTGCCCAGAAAACCAGGACACCCCTTTTTTGGGCTGCTGCAGATTGAAGTGAGCATTTCCCACGTGCCAAGTGAGCAGTTGGGTGAACTTCCCCATCTGTGAGTGTTGTGCTGAACCAGGAGCTAAATGAACATCAAATCAAAGCTACACTTCATTAAGCTTAATTAATGTTGGTGGTGCTTTACAGGATATTGTTAAACACACTGGAATGGCTCTTTTTGGAAGATTGCAACGTGGTGCCATTACTGGAGTAATAATGTTGTTATACTGAGGGGTTTTTGTAAGAATCTTTGAAGGTGCAGTTCATCAAAGCAAGAACTTCATGTTCTTTGCTGCCTTTGAATTTTGTGGTGAAGTTTTTTTGACAGGAGTAAATTCCATCTGTGCTGCACCACAGATCAATTTGCCTCTCAAGTCTGAGGCTGTTTGTTAATCAAAACCTCCTCAAATATTTGAAATATTCAATATTTAAATAATTTGAAATACCCAATATTCAAATATTTGAAGTACTCAATATTCAAATATTTCCATTCCGCCTTTTTTTTTTTCCTGAAAGAAAACAATACTAAACACGACATCTTGAACATATAAATGTGTCTAAATGTTAACACAGGATATTAATTTAAATTACAAACAGTGGTCTGCATAAGAGAAATGCTTGATCTTACTTTGCAACCTTCATGGGGAAACTATTTGGAGTAATTTTTTTTTTCCTGGCTAAATTCTGAAGGACCCAGTTAGAAGGAGAGAAATAAAGTGGCAGAGGCCTGAGGGGGCTTTGATGGAGCTCCTGGCAGGTAACAGTTGTCAGCCCTGGGAAGGACAAGGAGCCTGATCAATAGTGGGGATTCCAGAGGTGCCAGGTCATGGCCAGCAGTGGGAACATCCCATTTCTGTCTCTCTGAGAGGAGTGTTCTCTGGGGGAACAGTCACCCACCACCATAAATCTTGCACCTGCAGTTTGAAGGCAACCCTGAGAATGTCACTGCAGGTTAAAACCCCAAATAATCTGTTCAACCTGAGTGTCCCACCTGGTTGTGCCGTGTTTGGGAATGAGACTCTGGAAATGGGCTGCTGTGGGAGGGGGTGAGGAACAGGCAGGGCAGGGCAGGAGCAGCCAGGAATGATTGCTGCCCATCAGAGGGATTGATTGTTGGCCATATCCTTACCTTCTACTCACCTCTTTCCTTCCTTTTCCTTCCTTTTCCCTGCTTTTCCTCGCTGTCCACCCTCCCTGTCCCCCCCTCCTGCCCTCTGCCAAGGTGACAGACATGATGCAGAAAGCTCTCTTTGACTTCCTGAAGCACAGGTTTGATGGCAGGTGAGGAGCACTGCCCTGCTCGTGCTGCTTTGCCCACGTGTTACTAACATTCCAGTGGGGTGTTCTTCATTTTGGATGCATGTTCCAGTCTTATTCACTGCCCTTTCTTCACCACTGAGGAGTGGAACACAACTAACATCTCACTGTCTCCATTTCTGCTGGGTCTGGGGCAGGATTTCTCAGTTTAACACAATAATTCCTTTGCAGTAGTTTCCCCAACACCTGAGAAGAATCAGCTCTTAAGATATTCTTTATTTAAGCCTTTATTTTGGCTGCTCTGAGCAGTCAAAAATAACCAGAAAAGGCAGTTTGAAGAAAAAAATGCTGAGAAATAAAATATAGAAAAATAAGTTTGTCAGTGCTTAAAAAAAAAATATAAGGAGGGTTCATTCTCAGCTGGAGCACAGGGAATATTTCCTGGGGAGCTGTGAGGAGGATAATTTGGATTTCTTTGCTAGGAGCACAGGCTTGTCCATGGCATCTCTGCCTCTTCCCTGGGTAAGTGACTGCTGCACCTTTGGGATGTTCTGCCCTTCCTTCTTCCCAGTTTGTTCAGAATATTCTAACTGGGAAAAGGAGCTTACACTGTTCTAGCCAGTATATAACACTAAGTCAGGTTAGAAATACCTAAACCATTGGCACTGGGACAGGGAAAATCATGTGGAGAAGAGCTGGAGCAGGATTTATGGAGTTTTGGGAGCTGAACTGATACAGAAACAGCTCAGACAAAACGTTTAATGATCAACTTCTGTGCAAAATAATCTCCTCTCCTGCCCTGTTTGGAGCTACCCAGTTCAAGTGATTTTCTGGGAATCCTAATTCCATTAGCAGTATTGGCAGCTGGATCAGGTGGAGTGTGGGATTTCAGCATTGGAAGGTTAAGTGGCACCAGCAAACTGATACCATTGATTTTTGCTCTGAGTAACTTCAGAAAAGCTGCTGCTTGGTCCTCCTGCCAACTTTTATGGCTTTGTGGTCTTTCTCCTCCCCCCTCCCTTTTCTATTTCTTTCTTTCCATCTCTTCTGCAGTTTTGTGACAGGTCCATGTTCCCAAGAAAAGAACTGACTGTCCAAGGAAAAGCCTTTCAAAAGGCTGCAGTGGGACTTGGCTCCTTCCCCACCTCTGAATTCCCTGTGCTTTGCCAGCTCCTTCCTTTGTAACTGCAGCCTCCTCTTCTGCCCAGGGAACCAAAGACCCACAATCCATTAATTTCTATTTTAAATTAATTTATACTTTTGGTCTCTGCTGTATTTTCTGGTAATACATTTATTTGTGAATTATTTAGAAAAATACCTGTACTTCTTTTGAACCCTCCATCTGATGATTTCACTGGGAGCTGCATAAACCTCAGGTTTTGTGGGAAAGCTGCTGGTCATTCCCAGCTTGCTTCCTTTTCATTATTCATGGCTCTTTGGCTCATCCCAGGCCTCCTAAATGGATTTTACGTGAAGGGATCGTGTGGTGTTTGTTTGATAACATTTTGTCTTGTCAGTTCAAGTAAATCTGAATCAGTTCAGGTAAATCAAGTAGATCAAGTGAAAAATCACTTCCCTTCAGTGAAGGAGGTTCAGTGAAGTTAAACTTAAGTTTAAGCAATGCAAGGAGCTGTGGTTTAACTTCTTTTTCTCTTGTTCATCCAAGTCAGACCCGTGTAACTTGTGATATTCGTGGGACTGTGTAAGTTCATGTAGGAGAGGAGTGAGTTGGGAGGAGGGAAGTTAATTAATGCACTAAGAATGGCAGAAACTACATCCCAGAGTCTCCAGTAGCTCAGGGAAGGGAAAATCCCTCACAGTTCCCCAGCACTTCCCTTCAGTTGTTCTGGAGTGATGACAGAACTCAGCTGGAAGACGTGTCTGAGGGGTGTCTGGGTGGGTTTGCCCTCTGGAATGGGATGTGCCTGCAAATCCTGCAGATCTGAGCCCTGTGCTTGTGCTGTGCCCGTGTTCCCTGTGCCAGGATATCCATAACCAGGGTGACAGCTGACATCTCCCTGGCCAAGAGGTCTGTGCTCAACAACCCCAGCAA